AGTGGACCCCTGGTTTGAAAAAGGGGTCAAAGAGGCCATCTATGTCAAAACTGAACAGCCCTCTCTCAATAGAGAGGAAGGGATATGACATCATCTATCTCCAGTATACAATATAGTCGTTTCAGCAGTTCCAAGAAGGCTCCACATCCATTTGCACTATTCAGATGACCTTGAGGACACAGATAAACCTCCAAGTGTCCTCAATGACTCTCTAAATGAATGCTAATGACCAGCTGTCTGCAAGGAATATAAATCCTTCCATTCCCCACCATCCAGGCAGAGCTGAAGAAGCTTCTTGGGTGAGAAGCGAAACGTCTTCAAACAAAAGCAAGAAAGTCCAGTTACCTTTTTAAAAAGCACCTTTGGGACACTGGATGGAGCATAAGAATATTTATTTTGTAAATTGGGGTGATAGGTTTTTTTTATGCTATTTAAAAACAAAGTAGTTTCTACAGCTGTCATTCGGCAGAAACCTTAGATAAAAGCTCCCAGAAATCATTTGCAATTTTGTGAAAATATACACAACCAATAAATGTTTGCAGGTTTGGCCATTGATTTATCCTTGTGGTTTATCAAGGTGCATGTATTTCTCTGCTTTGGTGTCATATTAGAAATATTAGAATATAGCTCAGGAAAAATAATGCACTGCAAGTCATTTCTTTCAATGAGGAACATTTGCCAAATAGGCCATTAGAGGGGGCAGTACTACTATGAGATTCAGAGTTAACATTTTGGCAGTGACAAAGCCTGGAATAACAATGACAAATGTTAAATGATCCCAAAACTAGAAAATCTGACACATCTGTAAATTTTATATTGAACCCTGTATCATGAAAGTCAGTTTACAGAAATGTTATGGTCAGTGAAAGGATTTGCTTTGCACAAGGAAACTGAGAATGAAACCATTGGCAGAGCGTTACTAAAAACACACCTAAAGGATCATGATTAATATGGCTATTCCAGAGCTGAAATCCCAAAGAACTAAGTCTGTCATTGTAGAGTCTATCCATGGACTGCAATCTGCACATCACAATCAATACACACACAAAAATATTATTGCTTGTAAGACTATTTAAACTTATTATAAAAAGACTTTTATTTTGTTTATAGGGATATAGGATTAGGACCAATTAACAAAGTAGGTCTCTTTTTTTCTCAGCTTCAAATTACATAAATTCCTTCAAGAAAGGCTTAGTTCTTAAGACTGTTAGCAGTGATTTAATAAAGAATTGCAAATATTCTTATACAATATTAATAATATTAAATTATAATTTCAAGTGAAATTTCTACAGGAAGATTTCCTGGTAGCTATTTACATATTTCTGCATTTCCAGATTAAAATGTTTAAAGTATAATATATTGTAGAATATCTAATACTAAATCCATAAAGTCTTTCAAGAATAACTTATTAGTTGTGCTGAAGTTCTGTTTTAATTCAGTGGGACAAACCAGTTATGATGATCCTGTAATCCATTTATTTCTAGTGGGTTTTAAAAATATTTCTATGGACAAGAAAAAACAATATTATACCAAGAGCATAAAACATTTTCTGTTAAAAAAAAGATTAAATTATAGCCTCTGTAAAAAAAAATACAGCATTTTTTGTTTTTAAAGAACATATTTCTCCAGTGTCAAACAACCTGTAATAAACTTAGAACGTATTTCATTAAAAAGTTGACCTGCTATCTAAGATGGTTTCTACTACACATGCTTACACTGAGATTCTTACTGCCTCAACATCTGCAGAATTTCGTTCTATACATTAATTTATGACTACTTTTTAAACAGTACATTTATAAGAGATCCAGTATTAGAAACATTAAAAAGGCATTTTATATATATAATAAAACCATACATGATTTGTTCTTTTCTTTCTTGGGACCTCTCAACACAGAGCGAAAAATTATGGGTTGAACTACAGCACTCTGGATTTTGTTTTCTCTCTCATCTTCAAAATAAATTCTACTTATTTAATCAGGTACTCTCAGGCACTGGAAACCCAGATTCAGTTTCCATTTTCAAAAACAGATTTCAATCCTGAACCTGGGTACATCCTGTGCAATAAAGCTATTACGGACAGATCTTTTCACTCTTAACCAATCTTAGTTTCTCCTTTTCCACCATTAGGAAGATGGAAGAGAAATCCCATCTTTCTTTTTACAAATTTTTACACCATCTTTGGCTCTCCCAGTTTTAAAAAAAATTGTATCAGGTATGGCTCATCTTTTATCAGATGTAAACAGGTAAAGAAAAACTGCACCTAATAATATAACTTAGTTCCGATGTCAAAAAAGAACATACATACATAGGTATATATGCATGTATGTAGGGGTTGGAAGTGGCTGTTTTCAGATCAAATCTGTATACCTTCCTTTCCATTTATGATAATTGCCAGACTCTTGCAACTATGAGTGTTGCTAATTATCTCTGATGACAGAGTTTTTTAATAATTATTAATTAATAATACTGCTCCCATAATATCTCCATCTTCAGGGAAAGCCTTTTGGTCTGAATGCTAGGCATGATAAGGGGCTAAAAAAATTCCATATGCTTAGAAGGCTACAAGTACCCCTTCCCCCTGCTTTTTGTCATGTAGTACATGTACCAGGACTTCATGGTGGGGGTAATTGGGGTTATTGGGTAGTTGTGGTTGCCATCTTGATATTTTTGATCCTTCCTGGTTACCTTGATGTAAGGCTAGTAAATTCTGACCCATCCAGGTGCACAGCTGGGTTCTCTTTTAGAGGATTCAGAGGACTTTAGCCAGGATGTGGAAACTACTACTTGTGACTCTTGGCTCTCCTGCTCTGAGTGTGAATGAGGTGCAGGGCACATAAAATAACTTGGAAGAGCCCTATAAAAGTTGTTTACCCTCTTGCACCATTTTTATTTAAAACTATCACTGATGTAGCTTTACAGAGGAGTTAGCAACCTTGCCTGTTATTTCAACAAATTTCAGATAATTTGTATACAGACCAATTAATGGAATTGCAAGCTTACAAAGGACATAAAATCTGAATTTCAATAAATCAATTTCCAATTTTTTCATTTAAAAACAATCACTATGTGCATTATGCATATGGCTTAATAATCTACTCAAAATCGTTCTGGATCAAATGGCAATTTTTATCTCATTTTACAACAGTGATTTATTCAGCAGGCTTGAAACCAGCTTAAAACCCACACTGAAATGTGCTTGAATTAACAGAAGTATTTCAATGCAGCTGGTATTCTTTTGGGTACTTTCCTGTACAAGTTTGTATATTAATTGTTGTTCACAACCTTCCAAGTCATATAGCTGTATATTACAGTGAATAAATATTTAAACCACATTTCATTGCCTATTTCCAAATGCAGGGTGTACATTTACATATATTAAATCATATACCATAATGTTTACTTCTCAATCAAGACAGCTATAGGCGGAAATTCTCAAAGGATGAGAACTGACTGAAAACCCCATCATCTTTATCTCACTCAACTTTTTATCAATGTTTTTTGTCCTAGGTATGCAAAAAAATGTTTTTATACTCCCAGGGCTTTAATCTATTAAAAAGTGAATTTTAATTATGTTAATATTCTATTTTGCTATATTTAATAGAATCTCTTACTGGAATTCTTGGGGGTTTTTTTAATGCAGTTTTTGTTACTTTTTATTTTGTTGATAATTATCCCAGGAATATAAGGAAATATAAGAATAAAAGATATTTAAATTTGCAGTAAAAATTGGCAGCTGATTGCAGAACACATATAAATATGATCAGATTTATAAGTTTAAATAACTAAAACATCTTTTAAATTTATAAAACATGAACATCTGTCCTTCAGTTCCCAATCCTGAAATGCATCAGTTTCCTATAGTTCTTCTAAACAACAAGATTGTTAGAAAAGTCCATGGCTACCAATTACTAAATCTAACCTAAACTATTCTATTTCATACAGATATTCTACAATATTGCCTAATAATTACTATACATAAATGTGAATATATACCAACTTGCAATATAATGGTTTTAAAAATAAACTTAAAGAGTCATAACGTACTTTGACCAGCATTTATGCTGTAACTACCTTTTTTCAGTTTATACACATAAATTCTCTGATATGAATGTGGAAAGAAATTCTCTGGAAAGCACATAAATAAAATAGATTTAGACAATCAGACTGAAACTCTGGAGGTTTTATGTTTGTAAATGCTTAAAATTAACATCATTCTCATATTCTATTATCTATATTAGATTATTCCTAGCAGAGTTCATTACTAGACTTATTGATCTTGCAATCAAAATTTGGTTGTTATTTTACAAACCATTAAAATGCTACATATAACATACAACTGTCTAGATTTCATTCTATGGGTATCCCTATAGTCATGCTTTAGCCATGCTTTTTTTGTTTGTCCCCTGATTACTACTTTCTTCTGTAAATACAGGCTAGAAAGCCATTTTCAGATGGCTCCAAAATATTAATACATAGTTTGGAATCCTGAATTGTGAAATGAAGACAACAGTTGCCATTCTAACAGAAAAACATAGCAATCATTAGAGTAGAAACTAAAAGGAATATATAATAACATCTAGATAGAATTTGTAATCCTGGCATAAAACATCTTTAAAACAGTTGTCTCTAATGCAGTCTTACTTTCTAGATGTGTTGGCTATAAATCCCAAAATTCCCAGCCAAATAGGGACATCCATGATGCTGGATGGGAATTTAGGGCCATGTAATCTAAGTATTTGGTGAGGACAAGATTGGAGAGGCAATTCTATTGCCTTCATTTAGAGCAGTGGTTCTCAACCTTTTTAATGCTGCGACCCCCAACTGGTCGTAAGTCGAGGACTACTCAACCGGTCGTAAGTCGAGGACTACTCAACTGGTGCAGCACCGTTTGCAGAATGGGACTTTTGGCGGGCTCAGCAGGGCAGAGACAGCCTGGACAATTCCTATTGGCTTTTGATTGGAGTCTATTCTTTCAAAAGCCAATAGAATAAAAGGGAGTAGCAAACTAAGGAAAAGGGGAAAAAAATGGCGGACTGCATTGTTTGGTGACCCCTGTGAAATGGTCGTTTGACCCCAAATGGGGTCCCGACCCACAGGTTGAGAACCACTGATTTAGAAGAATGTCCAGGTAATCTAGGATAATGATTAAATTATCCCCCACCAACTGATATTGATAATTGCTATCTTTTTTATTTGCTAACTTAAAATATTTACATTATAATTATTCTTACAGTTTCAAATTCTCCCAAAGGTAATCTGCAAGTAGAGAATTTTCACAAGTGACTTGTTAGAAAGCCATTATTCCATCTGTATACCTTCAGTGATAGTTCCATCTCTTCTGCTGATTCAAAGTTAACTAAAAAATAAACATTCTCTTTATGCTAGATGTAGATCAATATATCTAGCACAGTAGAAGATATATTCTTATTTGCTGCTTCTGGAACATGTACAATTGTATAATGATGCATGGAGGAATCAAGAATATAGTACGAGTAGAGCATGTTCACTCATAGATTAGCTATATGTACAAGCATACAAAACCACATAAAAGCCAAAATGCCAATTTTAATTATTCCCTGCATTCATTAACTCAAAAGTGCATTATAATAATTCACATATGAACGCAAATAATTTCAAAGACCTCATGATGCTTTTAGAGTCACTTGTGAAAATGCCTTTACTATTTCCTGCAACTGAACTTTGGAAAAATCCAACTCTTCCTCTTCTTCCACCAGGTTGCCCCACAACACTGGAAGATCAAATAAAATTTCCTTCTGTTAAATGTAGCTTCCCAAGATCCTTTGCAAATGTCTTTCAAATGATAAATGGAATGTCATCTTCTTGTAACTTCCCCTTAAATAAAGCAAACCCTTATATTGTAATTTTACTTGCAATAGTGGAATAAATTACTGTCCTTGAAACCAAAACCTACATCAAAAGATATGCACTAAAAATCCAAAGCATGGCTAGAATATGGGAATAAGAAGACACAATGAGAAGAAGCAGACCAACAGCTGACGTAAGGTATGGTGTGTGTCTTTGTGTCCTGACAATGTTCATATCCAATAATAAATCTAATCCCTGCAAATTTTGCAATTTGTAATTTTTGCGCAGTGTTCCAGTTAAGTGGTTTGCTATGTTCTGTGTTGCAACTGAGTGACCTAGAATCTTTTCTAGTTCTTTCCACAAAATAATTCTTCAGCAGTATTGTTGACCTAAGTCCTATAGTAATAGAAGACACTGCTGGTAATTTGGCACAGTATTGAGAAAAATACAGCAATGGTACTTGTACCTTAAATGCAATTTGCTCTAAGAAATATTTGCAGTTCTTTCTCCCTCCTTCCCACTCTTTAAAAGGAAAAAGAACATTTACAAACCCCATACAGTTTCCCTGAAACTGCTGTTATTTAGGTCAGATGTTTGCTTTGAATAATTAAGAATAGCCAAAGTTCATTTTATTTTCAAATTTGTAAAATAGTATTAAAAAAGAACATCTTCCCCAATGAAAATAAATTGTTGCAACATTTCAAGATGTCACATTGATTTGAAGATGTATAGATGACAGTGAATAAATGAAAAACAGAAAAGTATGTCTTATCAGCATCATTTCATAATTAGGACTTGTGCCCCACAGCTCCTCCTACTTGGATGGAGAAAGGTCACTGGCCTCCATTTTGATTTCATCAAGGTTACTTGGCTATCCTCACCTTCAGACTCCCCAGGGACTGATTGAAGATGCAATGCACTTGAGGACAGCGTTCAGGCAAACAAAACCTTGAGATCATGATCTTAAAAACAGAATCAGTACCCTTAGTACTTCCTTGCTCATTAAGATCTGTCACAACAAGGTCCTACTGTACTCTCCAGGGAAAGCTGTGAGGACTGGCGCAGGAGGGGAGCTGTAGTAGGATCCACCATTGAAGAGGTTGGAAAAAGCTTATACCAACCAACAGCCAGAGTGGACAAATCCAGTTCTTCCAAGAGGACCCGAGCAACACCCATGAAGTGCTTGCGTTCCATGCGCCCGTAGTTTCCCCAGACGATCACCGTGGGAACAAAAAGGATGGAGATTGAGTTTGATTCAGGAACACTAATGATGGATGCTGCTGAGAGAGTACTGTGGGATTTTTTCTTTTGACAAATTATTGTCACACACTGTGATCTAATCAACATCAAAAGGAAGAACTTGAAGGAAATATCAGAGAAGGCTCACATCAGATGTTTCCAGTATTGTCAAGATGGAAAAATGAAACTATTGGTTTGTCTCCTGCATTTCTACTTTCAAATAAATATCTGTGTCTACAATGGCCTTAGCATAAGGGGAGACAGTTTCTAATAGCCCAGCTATAGGAATATAGACATCTCTTTTAAGCTACATTATATTATTCAATCATCCTAGCTCCAATATTGTTTACTCTTATTTACAATAGCTAGCTGGGGTCTCACTATCTCCTACTATCTGACCTATTTTTTCTCTAATTACAATGTACTGAAGACCTCCTGCATGGAAGTGACTATATATAGAGCTATGGTTCCTTTCACTTTTTGTCATTTTCTATTACAATCAGAAAAACAAATTAGGATACAGTTGAGAAAAGGAATGGTTCCTAATTATGGAAAACAGTGGGGAATGGTTCTTTATATATCCCCCTTTTAAGGCATATGAATTACTCAAGCCAGTTATCCTGAACAATGTTTTTGAAGATTACATTTTGTATACCATCTATTATCTTGGGGACTGAGAAGGACTATAAATATGAAGGACTATAAATATTTCAATATGTTTTCAGGCTAGTAACTGTTACTGATTTGATTATATCTCCATCATCCTTAACTATAGGGCTGGGGTGTGCCCTTGAATTGTGTTTAGAAAGTTCAGCTGGTCCAGTATTTTGCAGCAAGACTGCTGATTATAGGAAATATATCATTTTCCTGGGCACTGAGGTTTTTTTCTGAAGGCAGTTCAAGTATTGGTTATATGACATGTGTATAGTACATGGTTTTCATACTATAGAGCAGTGGTAGCGAACCTATGGCACGGGTGCCAGAGGCGGCACTCAGAGCCCTCTCTGTGGGCACGCGCGCCATCGCCCTAGTCCTAGGCCTCAGCTGGGTTTTATAAAACCTTTTCACTTTAGGTCTCCACCGCTGTGTGCAAAAAAAAAAAAAAAAGGTTCAATCAATCAATTTCAACTTCTTGTGGGAAAAAAAATCTTGCAAAGTTGGAATTGATTGATTGAACTTTTTAGTCCCACCCAGTCTGCCATTACCACCTCAGCCATGCCCAGCCAATGGGCCACACCCACCTGGCACCCGACGATGCATAAGTGGGTTTGGAGTTGCAGTTTGGGCACTCGGTCTCTAAAAGGTTTGCCATCACTGCTATAGAGCCTGGTTGTCTGAGGGACTGCCTTTCTCCACTCTTTCTGCCCATTCTGTAAGACCCAACAGGCATGCTTTGAGTCCCATTTATCCAGTAACATTTTCAAATGGATTCCAGGAAATACATATTTTCTGTCACATTGCCTGCTGTATGTAATAGCACTCCACTAGAAGCTTGAACTGCCTTTGAATGACTCTTGTAAAGCTATTTTATCCCCAAGCACTGGAATAGATCAAGATGTCTCTTTCCACAAGGCCCTAAAACTGCATCAGAACATGGGATCAATCCATACAGAGTATACGACCCTTGAATGAGATTTGTGTTGGTTAGCCTCAATTGCTTCTGTTATTATTGTTATTTCTATTTCATTAACCTGTTTGTTTTAACATTCCAATGGTTTATTATTTTAGAATGTGTTTCAGTTTTTTCATGTTTTACTCTTACATATTGGTGGCCATATATATCAAATAAAATAAACAAACAAGCTGGGAGCATATTTGTCAGGAATACCAGAGATAGTTTCAGAAATTCCCTGCAAAAAGAGGGAAATGCAGCTTTGATTTCAAGTACTACACATGACTACTATTTTCACTTTCCAAAATCTCAAAAGCTGCTTATAAACCAATTCTGATTATGAGTTTATTCAATTGTCCTGAAATGCTTAGAACACTGAACAAACTCTAAGATTGCTGCTCAGGATCCTGTGGCAATAAATTTTTCTTCAGCAATGTTTTCACAGGAGTGGCAGGAAACAGCCTGTGATTATAAGATTTTTTTTCCTGATGAAGAGAAAGTGAAACAGAAAATTTTGATCAAATTTACCTCTGCTTCTTTTGGCTGAATTATTAAGTGGAAGTGCAAAGCCCTCAGAATACCATCTCCCTTAGACAACCTCTGCAGGCAGGAGGAAGAGCACCCTGCTACACCATTTCAAACAAACACAACATTGCAGCAGGAAAATACTACGGTAGTTCACTCTGCAGAAAAGCCAGAAAGAAACTGGTTTGCTGATGTTGTGAAAACACTAAGATCTGGAATTACTTTCTGATTGGTGCAGCACCCTTGTGTGCATTTTCCCGACTTTTTGCCAGCAAGCAAACGCATTTCATTGGGCTTTTGATGGTTAAATTGTCTTGCTCCTTAATTAGATTTTGGTACTTGCCCCCCCCCAATATTGGTATGCTTTTCATTTCATTTAAAGAATTTTGATCATAGTTTTGATTGTGTCTTGAAAGCAATTTTAATGGCAAGGTGGAATATAAATAAAGTGAACAAATTGCACCGTACCTGAAGTACTTTGCCTTGTGGGCTCTCTGGGAAAAGTAACACTTGATTGTACAGGGGGTCTAAAGATTTGCGAGCCACTTTAGTTTTCTTCTTTGCAATGCAAACCCCATTTTCTAGGAGATAGGCCTTGATGTATGCCGCTGGAAGAAAAGCATATGATCCATGGTAAGTTCAAAGTTTTTTTTTTTAAAAAAAATCCATCATGTAGCTCATGTAGCTTTTTCACAGGCAGGAAGCTGCTTTGTGGAAAGAGTTTCCTGTATAGTTATTGGCTTTATTTTTAAGAAGTTTTAAAAAGAAGGATTCTTCACTTGTGTCTCTCAGCAAAGAGTAATACTTGGCTTAGCTGATCTTAGTGGCTCTGAAGATCAAACCTGACTACAGCTTGAATCTCAAGGAAATATCGAGGCTATAAGCTAGGCTGAAAAGTCAAGATATATTTTAGAAAAAGGTAGCGGCAAACCATTTCTGTATTGCTAACAAGAAACTCAACTGAAGCTGAGCTTCACTTAAAAGATTTCAGTTTGTACTTTGCTTGATGGCTGTCCTGATCTAGTATCTGAAGGTTGTAAGGACTGGATGAGGGTGAGCAAGCTGAAACTGAATCTCATTAAGACAATATTATACAAATGCCTTCTGGTCCCTATTTGCTTCATTTATTATGCTTGATGGACTTGTATTTATCTGAAGAATCTGAGGAATAAAATTGTGGAATGAATGGAATTGTGTTTATCTGAAGAAGCTGTTGTACAAACTGAGGGTTTTTCTGGTTTCACAGCTTCAGTAGGGCAGCAGATAAGGTCCGTGGCCAGAGAACTTTAAGCCAGCTTTGCTTTCAGTTGCAAAATTTCCTGGAAGTGCAGAAAACTGACTCATCTCTCAGTTAAGCTGCCTGCCTCCTGTGAAGGCAACTCAGAAGTTGCAGTTGGTGCAAAATACAACTCTTTATACAGTGATTAATATTAATCAGTTCAGTAGCATTAACATCCATCTTTGTGAGTTGCATTGGCTGCTAGTAGAGATGCAAATATATATGTGTTCAGTCTTTACTGGGAAAGCAATGCACAGAGACAGAACACCTTATTTCTTCTTATTGAACCAAATTTTTATCCCATTACTAGAGAGCTTGTGAAAGTAAGTTTCCCAGTAAGAAAAGTAAGAAGGGGGTTTTCTTCCCTTGCACAAAGGGATGAATTTTTATTCCAATCATAGTAGGAAGGGAAAAGAGATATACCTTAATCTTCATGTACTGTGTTTGTGCTATGGATCACACATCATAAGACCACTCATATGTAATTAAATTGTGTTACACAGAGTGCAATTAATTTCCCACAGTGATATCTTGATTTGTTTACAACTATAATGATAGTTCACAATTATAATAAAAAGCCTAATTCTTAGCAATGGTTGGAAGAGTTTTTCTCACTATTTTGCATGAACTTTTTTATCTCTATAAGAGACTTTATAATAAAGTCAGTCAATGAAATGATACCAACCAACAGTTTTTGCTAAGTTTTAACAATCGATGGACTGTTCTTGCTCATGATCCATCATATTGCAATAATACTCCTCAATGCCTTGAAACAGAAATACAAAAAATGCAAAAATGTATAAGGAGAATAACAAAACGATTTGATCTTCCCTTTCTCATACCTTCCTCATCCCTTTTGCAAGCAAAAAAGTACCCTAATAGATTGCTTACTCCATGCAGTCATGTTAGCTTGCAGAGTAGCTAACATCGCTGCCTATCCAGCCATGTCTTTTCTGGAACATCACTGCAAACTCAGGAATTGTTTGGGTAAATTGTCACTGGCAAAGTTGGCCTATCTGCCTACATAGTGGCATATCAATGTCTTCTCAGATTAGTCTCCAGGTTATACCCTACACAATGGTAAGGAAAGGTGAAGGGGCACTATTGGGAGGAGATTGGCAGGAATAGACTAGCTGGCTAAAATAGAATATTGGCAAAAGATTTCAAGCCTTAATCTAGTCTTACTTGGGTCTGTGTTTATCTTAGAATGGGTTGCAACTTTTCAAAAGGTGTGGATTTCATTTTAAACATCTATAAACGTGTTTATCCATCTCTGAAAATTTCTCACAAAAGGATTTAAAGTCATTCAGCTATCACTAAAATATTTAGTATGTAATGAAAAGTTGGTTTTGGATTCAAGAATTAAAATACATCAGGGATTCTCAACTGGGGGTACTTGCACCCCCTGGGGGAACAATATTCCAGGGGATGCAAAAACTTGGGTTTTCAAAATGATAGTGTATAATTCATTGCCGTTATTTTGAACTTTTGTAAGCGGTGCAAGAATATATCAGAAGCATTCTAAGGGTGCAGGGTATAGAAAAGGTTGGGAGCTGCTGAAATATGTGAATCTCTTTGTTGATCCTAAGCACCAAAAAGTCAGGATCAGTTTCTTATCATCTCTGTGATATCTGATCATTTTAGACAACAGTATTAAAAAAAATCTATTCAATTTGCCTAAAGTGGCTGCAGTGTTTAGATAAATAAATTGCTGTAAAATAATTCATCCTTACTGATTATTCTTTCTAGAATCAAGCAACTTCTGTTAACATCCAGCATTTTGTAACCACAGAGAAGAAACAACAGTTTATTAAAAGGAAGAAAGAACTGAGATTGAAATATAGTACCTGGAAGGGTTTTAGAGCCAGGCTTTGCGGTCAATCCTCGGGCTTGAATAATATCCACTTCCAGTTGTCCATTGCGTTCTTGCAATCCAATTTCCACATCTCCTGTGCACCAAGCAAGGTATAAATTAAAAGCCAAACGGTTTTAATGTTTAATCCCAATATCCCATAGAAAAGACCAATATTTAACGGATTCTTTACATTTAAAAGGCTTTTAAATATAAGGGGTCTGTTGAGTACTGATTATTTCTAGGAGAAATTGGAACATTTAGAAATAGCTTTTCCAAGCCCTACCAGACATCTTGTGTTCACCCAGCCTGGTAATTCAGTTTAGCACTAAATACACCATGAGGAAGGAATATTCATGTGAGTCCTAAATCCTCAGATTCTTTATTTGTGTTTGTTTATTGGAGCCCTGGTGGTGCAGTAGTTAAAGTACAGTATTGCAGGCAAACTCTGCCCACAGCTTGGAATTGAATTCTGATACGGCTCAAGATTGATTCAATCTTCCATCCTTCTGACGTTGGTAAAAAAAGGACTCAGATTATTGGGGCCAATATGCAAATAATGCTTACATTGTAAACCACCCAGAGAGTGCTATAAAGTGCTATGGGGCAGTATATAAATCTAAATGCTATTGCTATTAATTTTATAGAACTTCCCTTTTCTAGGGAAGTTCAAGACAGTTTGCATGGAGGGTTCCCCATGATTTTATTCAGTATCAACCTTTTGAGGTACATAAGGCTGTGAAAGAAGACCCCCCCCCAAAACTCACTCAGTAAGCTCTGTGGTCAAGTGAAGACCTGAATCTGAGTTGTTTTGATCTACAGGGCAGCATCTTAACTGCTATATTTCCTCTAACAATACTGCAGTGGCCAATAGTGCAAATAAGATGGGAGAAAACAGTTACAATTAGAGATATTATCTAAATCAACAAGGAAAAAAAAAAGGGGGGGGGAGGAACCATCTGCCCAGGAAGAACATGCTTGCACTTTTTCCATCTGCTTCTCTTTGACCTTTTTCTCAAGAAATACTCAGAAATACTGCTAATCATTCTGTTTTGCCTCCTTGCCTCGGCTAATTTCAGCAATCTTTGCCCATTTCTGCGACAGGGTTACAAAGAATCGGCTACTGCTAAAGGAGAAACACCAAAGGGATTGTTCTGTGGAAGATCCATTTTTCTCCCTTCTTCCTTTCCTTTTTTATTCCCTCCATCCCTCCCTAACATCATAGCATAATTACATAGTGTTATTGTACACCATAATTTCCTAATATGTAAAGTATGGTAATAGACAGTTCTGCAAAGTAGGGCATTGTTCAGGAGCTCTTTTTAAACTAATAAATGATCATAGATTACCATGTAAGTTGGTTGCCTAGGGATATCCATGTGTGAGATAGAGTGGCAAAATCTACAAGAGGGTGGTCATGGCCTTGTGACAGAGATTATGCCCCTTTGCATCCATACATAATATGAGCAAGGCTGTAATTACAATGCAATGCCTGTTGTTAGGGCAGGGGTTCCCAACCGGGGATGCTCGCATTCTCTGGTGGTATGAGATAATATTCCAGAGGGTGCAAAAACTTGAGTTTTCAAAATTATAGTGTATATGCATAATTCATTGCCATTATTTCGAACTTTTGTAAGGGGTGCGAGAATATATCAGAAGTGTTCTAGGTGTGTGGGATATAGAAAAGGTTGGGAACCGCTGTGTTTGGGTCTGTGATAAGAGAGAAAAATATGGCCTAGATCCCTTAGGCATCCTATATATAAGGAAGTGTTGGGAAGCCAGGAAGAAAATGGGTCCTTTTTAATAAACAGAATGTTACAGCATTCAAAGAACAGAAGATTACAGTAGCAGAACACTAAGTTGAAGAGAATATAGTTTTTCATTTGCTTCTCCTTCAGCTTAATCTGTCAGTCTCAATTGCACTGGTTGCTTCCTTATGAATATTGGAAAACCTTTTAATCTCTGTATCCTTTTAACTGTTAAGACAAAGTATATATCATTGAAATTAGGACCTATTCCTTTCCTGTTTTTGTCCACATCTTCCCCTGTAGTTTCCCCTGACTTCTTGTGATATGGATTCATCAAACCTATTCTTTGCAAAGCACCACAGAGATAAGTAGTGCTAAATGAATACTTACATTCAAATAAAATAAAAAAAATTTTTTTTTTGTTTCTTACCCATAGAGGTAGTGGCCAAGGTCTGGCGACCCACAAACTGTGCTGGTCCCATGCTGCCCAAGAAATCACTGAACTGCCCAGCAGATGCCAGATGAACTCCATTGAAATTCAAGCTGCAAAATCAGTAGGTTAGCACTGACTATTATTTCAAGTCTTTACAATGGCTGACAATTGAATAGCCGACAATTACTTGAAGATATGCATAGAATGAATAACTATTTCTATAGATACCATTCTCATTGATTTTCATACAGATTGTCACATGTCACTCTCAGTCAATTTCTCTTTCTAATTTAGGAAATATATATGTGTGAGCAGGTACAGATAATTATAGGCAAAGAGTTCCCTTCTTGGTAAAATAATTTGAGGAAAATATAATTTCCTATGCAAATCTTAGATGTTTGCCCCTTCTCAACTGTACTCCTTTGCCCCCCCCATACTACAGAAAAATACAAATTATCTATCCTGCAGAGCCAAATAATTTGCAATTAATGTTTTAATAAATCTCTAATATTGCACAGACCAGCTATTTGTTATTTATACTGGATAAAAATGCTGGAGATGGGGGGGAGGGGGCAAAATCGATCTACTCTTACAGAATTTAAAGATCCTGTTCAGAAATTAAAATAACATAGTGTGACATATTGAATCTGCTACAAAATAAGCTGATAATTTTCTAAATTTTATTTTGGCACCTCTTTGTCCTTGTATTTTTTTTATTTCTGTACTAACATGCTTCCTATTTCTATTATTTGGAGTCTTCTTTTTCTTATACTGGTACTTTTTGTACACTATCCAAAAGTTTACAATATAATAATTGTAATTTAATAATATAAAACAAATCTTCCTGGATTAAACCAGTTCAATAGTGTTATCAGAGGAACCAGTTAAATGTGTCTGCAATGTCTAGAGATATCAATTTGAAAGAGGATTCTTACTCATGTTTCCAGTCAGCTGGAGAGGGAGGAAAACCCTAATTTATATATAATTTTATAATCAAATATCATCCCTCATCTTATTCAAGGATAATTTTTTTCTCTAATGTAAAATGTCTCCCAAATCATGCTCATTGTTTTTTGGAGGAAAATTGGGCTCATTGATCATGAGCTCTTTGCTAATTGCAGATTTGTTCCAGTGTCTTTATTGTTTTGATTGTCCTGTTCTCATCTTTTCCAGCTGCATAATGCAATACAATTGTTTGAGAGGCAGCAACCAATTTAAAATAGTATTTTAAACATTGCACTATATACTTTTATAAAGATATTCCACTGATCTATTTTCAATTCCTATCTTAAGCACTTCCAACATGGAAGTTGTTTTTTGCACAGCAATCACACCCAATCACATCATCAAGCTATAAACCACAGTCTCAAGATCTGTGGCTGACTCAGTTTTCTCCCAATTACCCCAATACAGTTTGAAGTAACAACAAAAATAAAAGCAAAGGAATAAAGCAAAAAAAAAAAAAAACAACCACAATATAAAACCTTAAAAAACTAATTTATTAAAAAAATATGAGAGGAAAAAATATATCACTTTTTAAAGTGGTTTAAATATATTAAACCTATATATTATATATTAGACCTAACAAAGGTCTAACAGCTGTTTATTATCCAATTCCAGGTTCCTAGTTAATTTAATTAAATAAGGTATTTTGCTTTTATATTCTGTTCACCATATTGTAAATATTACTTTGACCTTTTTACTCATAATTAAGGTAGAGAGGGATGTCTGTTCCATCAGTTCGATGAAATCTTCTTAATTTCTTTAGTTTTCCTGAACAAATCTGGATCACTTCTTGTCATTAACTATGCATCATATATGAAATAATTAACAATTTCTAGTACCAAGCCAGAGTACAAAGGAATTATTACCTTTTAAACCCTTCCACATATATGTTCTTCAGCTAAATATTGATCACTAGAGGACCTCCACTTCTGTGCTATACAGTAAATGTAGGGTTTTTAAAGGGATTTTAATCATATGCTTTTTTGAAAGTCCAAATTAATAATAACTGCAAAATTCTTAGTCTACATCAGACATGTCAAACACAAGACCCGCGAAGTGGTTTCATGTGGCCCGCGAAGCCATCCTGGAAACAGTGAGGGAATGGCCCCCTCTGCCTTGGCCCTGGCCCAGGCCGGCCAGGAGCCAATGTACAATGTACAATTTTGTGGTGGCCATCTATGCTGAAACACATTCAGTCTTAGCTCCACAAGGCTGTCTGGAAACAGTGAGGAACAAGCCCTTGCTGTGTTGGCCACACCCCCTGGGTGCATGCTGGGGAGGTGTCACCCTTTGTGAGGAATGAAGAAATGCACCGTGCCTTGGCGCTTGCCCCAGTCCCACCCCCTTCTTCCAGAGACCTTCAGATCTGTCCCACTCCTGCCCAGACCCCCACAGGCACCCTTGACGTGAACGATATAGAGCTGGCCATGCCCATCAGTAGGCCACACCCACTCCATCCACACCCACCCAGTAGGCTGCACCCACCTTGGCCACACCCACCTGCCCCCCCAAGGGCAACCGCAATGCTGATGCGGCCCTCAATGAAATTGAGTTTGACACCCCTGGTCTACATGCTTTTGACAGTCTTGAAGAAATAGAACCTTATTAAATATTAAATTTGCAGACTTTCTTTGCAGAAGTCACATTGATCCTTAAGATCTGTCCTTGATTTTTCCTTGATAATTTGGTCTTTATTAGCTTTTGCAACAATTATCTAGAAGAAACTGTAAACCAGTGACCTCCTTTTTGGACCATTTTTTAAAATAAACTGGAATTGTGTAATGTTTCTAATGTTATAGAAATTGGCCTTGGGAAAACATTAACATGTCCACATTTGAGTTTTTTTTAGAATTCTTAGTATTGTAATGTTTGCTTTCAATGTGTTTATATGATTTTATTGGGAATTTTATAGCAATAAGCTCCTATGTCAGATGTCTGAGCAATACATCTAGCAGAAGAAAATGCCATAAAATTATACCATTTCAATCCATTGATGGGGATCCTTTAAGAAATTGGAGGGGAGATTTCAACCTTTACTTCCAAATCCCTTGTAAATTAAAAAACAATGGTGGGATGCTGAAAGATTTCATCCCAGCATATTATGCTAGCATTCTGTTCAAGGAGCTCCAGAATTTTATGTAAAGAAACCTTCATGAATAACATCATCTTTATTTGCAATTTAAAGTGACACATCCTGTTCTACCATTTGTTTTTGCCTTCTGCTACACACTTCCTGCTCTTCCTCATTAGGAAGCTAAAGCATCGTTATGGCATCATCTTACCATCACTGAGATAGTACAAAACCTGTCCTTATTACTGTTATGTAGTACAATGATGCTTGGATGACATAAAGAGAGTGGAAATCACTAATGAGAAAGTGACCCAAGTGTAGTCTTCAGTCATCAGTGTAAAAATAAATAGGCTCAGTCTGCACAACAAAATGCTAATAACAATGCATTTCCTGCAAAATATGTTTGTTCCAACATCACATTAGGAAGCATTCCATTCCACTAAATTATATGAATTTAGAAAGCCAAATGTGTGGATCATAAGAACAAATTTATGTAGTTAGTTAACAGTCAGTAGCTGGTATATTTCATCAGCTGTTAGATGGTAGTTAATTTATAATCCAAGGTGTTAGAATCCTCCATTCTTGATTTGGATACATTAATGTCCCTTTGTCTTTATCCTTTATCCTACAGACCTTCTGGGTTTATTCATTAGCAAAACAGACACTGTGCAAAACTTTTTTCATTATTAATTATAATAATTTAACCATTTCATAATGACATAGAAAATACTGCTGCTATGATGCGACCTTCCCCAAACTGCCTTGGAATTCTGGGAGTTGTAATACCAGTATATCTTAAGGATGTCATGTTTGAGAAGACTATGTAATGGAGCAGAATGGTATTATGTGTATTCCAAATGGAGCTTAAAAGTGAGTTCCAGGACAGACTCAAGGTTTCAGTTCTTGTCCATATTAAGCTTCACTATAATATGGACAGAGACATTGACAAAACCATAAGGTCTTTCTACTTCTCTGCAGATAATACATATGCATTTTTAATGCATTTCTTTGTTTCTGAAAAATAAAGCAAATTGTGTATTGCTAGATCACAAATACAGTTGATGGTGAAATAGGTAACCTAGCTGACAGACCCACCCAATTCTTGCTGGAGATATATCTTCCAGATGTTGGTGACATGCAGAGGCAAAGCTGGAAGAAAGGGGCGTTGTCTTGCCTGAACGCCTTTTCTCAGCATGATGATGGAGAATCCACGGATGGGTTGTCTCAATCCATCTGCTCCAATTGGACTAAGTCTGAAATGTGTATTTCCTTGTCTTGTGCTACTTGTGAAAAATCAAGCCAGCGTCTTTCAACAATGAACTGGAACAGGAGCAGAATGGCAGGATTGGCAAGTGTGAGACAATATTAGGCTGGCATAGTTTCCTGCCATCTCGATGATGGATCGGCAGCATCTTAAATCTGCAGTAGGGAAAAGCCTAAAAACTACCACACTTTGTACCTAAGGTGCCAATGCTTAGTGGCCCTAATATATATCTTATGTGTATGTTCATGTATGTATGTACATGTTTAGCTTGAGGAAATTGGAAATAAAGGGAAGTTAAAGAGACAAAGTGGAGGAGTAACATTAAGTAGCCTACAGGAATGTCTGGAAAGAAACTCCAGAAGGTCCAGATTACTACTAGAGACAGGTTGAGATGGCAGGGATTTGTCCATGCAGTCACTAGAGGTCAACACTGACTTGACACACTTAACTAAATCATAAACAGGTTCCTGTGCAACTTGACTAACCCCCCTCCCAAAGGATTAAGACAAAAATTGTTTATTGTACATTCCAGAAAAGATAAACCAGGGAAGAAGGGAATTGGGTGGGAGGAGGAAGGGCTCTACTCATTCTCTATAACATAAAATATTAAGTTCACGGTTCTATTAATTCTACCAGACCTGAAGAAACCTCTGCATTCTTTATTGAACAAGGGCTTTGTCCTCTGTGCTTGGCTCTCTAATCTTTACATATACAAGCAAAGAACAAAACAAAGCTAAATTCAATGAGCCACCTCTTTTAAATCCCCTCAA